TAAAAGAGCCATGGAAAACCATGGAGAAACCCGCAAAGGTAACTGAAGAAGCTCACGTCAACACACAAGCACAAGCACTCACTACTCGCACTCGATTGCCACTTGCTTAATTGAACGCGCACGTTAACGCCAGGACTAAATTCGAAAGCTACCCTTCAGAATCGACAGCAGCGATCCCAAAAGAGGAAAAATATAACTAGACATTGCGTTGTACCTTGAAAGCGATATGGTCAACCACTCTAGGTATAACAAAGCGAGGAAACGTAAGCAGGAGACGACCGTTGAGAAACAAGAGCACTGCTCTAACACTCCGGTGTCAACTCAGTTTCCCTCGCAACTAAACAATGACGAAAGCAAAGACGATTGCCCACCAGCTAAAAGGTTTTAATTGAATGCACAACAAAACCCCGAACTGGGCCCGAAATTGAGGATCATACAATTGAACCTCAACAAAAGGCAAGTAGCCAACGATGAGCTGGGAGAAATCATGACAGACAGAAATCTTGACATACAGGTGGCACTGGTGCAAGAACCATATCACTGGAATAACGCGATTTCAGGTATGGGCAGCATCGCAGCTATTCATGGATCCAAAAATGGTGAAAAGATTCAAGCTGCGATACTTTAAAATCCGCACAAAGTCACCGCTACCAAGATTTCTAATCTGTGCGACTCCTATTGTGTTTGCGCACAAGTGGTAGGAGCCTTTGGCGTAATTTACTTCGTAAGCATCTACTGCCAGTTCAGCCACAGCAGGAAGACCTATCTTGACAAACTAGCTGAGACTCTAAAGCAATTGAAAGGCAAAAGAGTCTTAGTTGGAATGGATGCAAATGCCAAGTCAAAGATCTGGTCTAACACACAGGACAAGAATGGAACAGTCATTGAAGAATTCATAGACCAATTCGGGCTAATAGTGGCCAATAGAAGGGACCAACTTCCAACGTGCCGTAGCACGAGGGGCGAGACGGATATCGATGTAACTTTACACACGTCGAACCTGTCAAACCTCTTGGCTAGCTGGGCGGTGAAAGAATGGACCACCAGTGACCACAGGTCCATAGTGATTGAACTGGATTTTGCCTCACAACCAGCCAGACTCATACGAACCGAAGAAAGATTAGAACCAAGGTTTAACATGAGAAAAGCTGATTGGGAGAAATTCGGGAGACTTTGTAAATTCGAGAAAGAGAACCTAGCTAAACTCCCTTTAAGAACCGCTGAAGACATTGAAACTTATGTTTCAAAATTTGAAGAGGTTCTGATAAGGGCAGCAAAGGACTCTATTCCATCAAAAATGAGAAGAACGCGCTCTCAACCCTGGTGGAATCCTGATTTGCGAAGGAAGAAGCGAGCGATACAAAGACAACAAAAAATCGCTGCTCTGAAAAACAAGGAAGGACCGAATATAAAACAAAGGAAAACCCTCCAGAGATCACTTGGAAAATTGAGTCAAATGAATTCCCAATATGCAACGGCTATTAAAAGAGCCAAAAGCAATAGCTGACGAGACTTCTGCACTTGGAAAGCGAAAAGAACGCTTGGGCGTATCCATACAAACAAGCATCCAACAAAGTCAGAATCTCATAAGCAATGTGCACGGTTAACCGTAATGGTTCAGTTACAAAAGACGGGAAAGAAACAAGCATTGGTTCTACTAGAAGGATTAATGCCTGATGATGATCCAAGCTGCGAAAACGATGCATATGCAGAAATTCGCAGATATATGCGGGAGGTTCCAACAACCGGCGACGCAATGCCTTTCCTAACAAGGGAAGTCGAAATGGCCCTTAGAGCGAACAAGGCAGGGAAATCACCAGGCAAAGATAAAATAGAGTCCGAGATGCTTGTTAACGCAATACCATTACACCAGGAACTGACGCGACTTTTCAACGCCTGCTTAAAATGCGGAGTGTTCCCCAGAAGATGGAAAAGTGGAATGCTAATCACGTTACTCAAAGGGGTTGAAAAACCCGAGAACGAGATTAAATCATATAGACCCGTATGTCTACTCCTTATAGTGGGAAAGATACTCGAGAAGCTTGTGATTCAAAGAATATCCAACATTCTTAATAGTTCGGACTGGTCTTCGGAAGATCAATTTGGCTTTAAGGCAAATAGATCTACAGAGGACGTCATTAGAAGATTACATGAAATAGTAGAAGAGGCAGAATCTGATCCGTCGACCAAGTACGTAGCCGCTATTCCGCTGGACGTCTCAGGAGCATTCGACGCCTTCTGGTGGCCAAGCCTGCTTTCCCAATTGAAAGAAAGAAATTGCCCGAAGAACATCTACAAGCTCCTCTAGAGCTACTTCAGTGATCGAGAGGTGGGAATATATGCTCACTTCGAAGAAACACTGAAAACAGTGACGAAGGGGTGCCCAGAGGGTTCAGTATTTGGACCGGTTGGCTGGAATGTCATCTTTGACAAACCACTTCGGGCAATCAGGGATGCAGGATACGAAGTACTAGCCTACGCAGACGATGTACTTCTTATCATTAAGGCGAAGACACGTATTGATTTTGAAAGACAAGCCCAAGAAATCATTAATATAATGATGAACTGGTGCAAGTCTGACAAAATGAAGTTGGCAGTGGAAAAGTCAGCACTAATATGGCTTAAAGGCCAGCTAAGCGAGAATAGGAACCATACAGTCAAAATTGGGAAAGACAACATTAGAACGCACAAATCAGTCAAGTACCTAGGAATCACGATCTCGAAGGGCTTCCGATTGGAAGAACATATTCGAAACGTAGTTAAAGACTGTAATAACACCTACTTCAAGCTAAGTAAAATAGCAAAAGCGAACTGGGGCTTAAAATTCAATTCCATGAAAAAGATATATAATGGTTTCCTACTATCGAAAGTTACATATGCCGCTGCGGGCTGGTGGCAAAGAACTAACATCAAACAACAATCTGCTTTAGAAAGATTGGAGCGATCAGTTTTTTGCAGAAAACTCAAAGCCTACAAATCGATCTCTCATGAAGCGGCGCATGTGCTAGCAGCCTCTCGACCAATAGCTCTAGAGCTCGACGCGAGAGTTGCAAAGTACTGCGTCAGGAAAGGGAAATCGATTAAAATGCACGGCATCCAAATTAAATCCGAAGAACTTCGATCGGGCAGACTAAAAATCTCGAAAGCCATACAACTTATCAACGATGAAATCGAAAGGGTATGGCAGGAGAGATGGAAGTCAGCCACAAATGGCAGGAGAACGTACTGCTACTTCCTAGTAATCAAGGACAGATTAAAGAAGAGGTGGCTAAATCCCAATCACTACACAGTCCAGTTTATGACTGGACATGGCGCTTTTAAGTCATACCTCCACAAAAGAGGACTATGCGAAGACCAACTGTTTAACTGTGGGGAAATAGATAGTGAAAGTCATATTCTTTTTAACTGCGAAGATATAAGGGAACTAAGGAAGCCATTAATAGAGGCTGTTGAAAAGGAGGGTCATACATGGCCATGCCCGTAAACGGCCCTAGTATCTAGCAGGAAAATCTACAAAGCCTTTGAAGACTTTGCTAGAAAAGTCATAGAGCCCAGAGAGGGAGCACCTATAACAAAAGAGAAAGCGCACAAAAATAGTCACGAACTATGGTAGAAAGACGACGCCTCTTACAAGCTCCCTGACCAAAGGACAAAAACTCCCACAATAACCTAATTTTTGAAACTTTGAACGCAGACAAGCTTATAAAGCTTGAAACTTTGAACGATAATTTTTGAACATCATCTTCAGAACTAAAATCTGTCCTAGCTGAGTTTCTCTTCTGACATCCCAATTTGGGTTGGCCTCTGCGGGGTAGTGGTACCAGGTCAAGCAAATCTCATAAGATTTGTACGCTGCGTGCTTCCGACGCAGTAGACGTTGGGGTAACTAGAGTCCCGTCGCGCCCAAACCGAGGGTCAAGCCTTTAGTTCCGCTCTCCTTGAGCGTTGATCCTTGAAAAGATCGGTACTCCTCTCGAGGAGGTCGCCGCCTTAGATGAAAAAGGTTCCGACTCGCTGTGTGCGTCAGGGATGTCGCAGCAAACTTGACTTCCGGATCTCCAAAAATGTTTGAAAGCGAAGGAGTCAAAGACAGTGGGCTATACCAACCTGTTGGTGCCCAGTGAGAAAGGTGGTAATGTTTGATTACGCTGTGCCTCCCTCAAATCGGAAAAGTATGACAACACACAAACACTAACTGTCCCTATCTACCACCCTGTCAAACCCACCGTGCGCGTCTCCGTCGCGACAGGGAGGAAACGCTGGAGCGGTGTGTATGTATTTGCATACACATCGCTCCAGTAGGCCAAGCTCGGGGGGCCCCATCAGATGGCGCCTGGTGGGGCGATCCTTGGGCTTCGGGGCGGCCTGCTCTTCGAGCAGCGTTGACCGAACCCCTTGGACCTCTGGCCTGCGGAAGCGTGGAGTGGTGCGGTGTGAGTCAGTGGGAGAGGGTACAGGGCTGAAACTGGGAGCCCCTCCTTTCGGAGGGAGGGGAGTGCAAGCCCAGGCCGCGCGGTAGTACCGGGGCCCGGGTCAAGTTCGCCACTTGATCGGGCTGCCCCGTAGCAACGCGTGTAAAAACCGCTGTTGTCCGAAGCGCTCCGGGTGGCACCCGGGCGGGTAGCGTTAGGAGGCAGCGGGTTGCCGGCCCCGAGGCCACTCCCATTGATAAACACCGTGTAAGCTCCGCGTGGAAGTAGGTTGGGGGTTCTGGGGGGGAGGGAGGCGTGGTTGCCCCGTTGCTCAGGGGCTATCAAGCCAAATTTAGTATGAAAATGGAGAATCAAGAAAAAACGTTAAAGTTGCATGACCAATCGGGTAACCCAGCCCACAAAAACGCGTTCCTGAAGGGGAGCAGCGAGGAAAGAAGTACATCCCTCTCGTCTTAGGATGGTAAGGAGGAGGAAAGGGGAGCGAGATCGAGATCCCGCTCTCCGAAGGGAAAGGAAGGGGAAAGGGAGACGATAGGAAGAAAGGTAGGAAAGAAGGAGAGACAGAAGATGAAGAAGGAGATGGAGAAGAAGAGAGCAGAGGCGCTAGTGAGAAGAAGGAAGATAGAGGAGGAGAAGAAGATGAGAGAGGAGGAGGACAAGAAAGAAATAGAGAGGAAGGAATCGGAAAAGAGGGAGAGGAAAAGGAGGGATATGGAGAGAAGACGGGAGGACGAAAAGGGGTGGGAGAACAGGAAAGAGGAGGAGAGGGAAGGGGAGGAGAGGATGGAAATGGGGGAGGCCTCGCAGGTGTTCGGGAAGAGGAAAATAATGGACAGAAACATGGGAGGGAACAAGGACATTTATATAGTATGCGAGGACTTGAGGAATGGGCCCAAGATCATAAAAAAGGATATAGGGGATAGGGAATTGAGTAGGACTAGGGAGGGGAAGAGGGAGGAGGAGGGGAGTGTGGACAGAAAGAGCGAGAGGGTAAAGGAGGCGGAAAGGAGAAAGATAGAGGCGGAGGAGGAGGAGGCGCGGGAGGACGCACTGACCAAGATGCGGTCCATTACCCGGGACCTTATGAGCATCCTGTTGACGGATGCCAATAAGGTGACAAATTGGGTGGTGGATCGCGTAATGGGACAGTGCGTGAAGTATGAGGAATTGATACAGGGGCTGATAGTCGAGAAAGCGAAGGTGGAAGGGGAGATGAGGGGGTATGAGAAAAGTGGGAGGGAGCTAGTGGAAATGGTGGGGCATGCATGGGGGGGGGTGAAGGAGGCGCTGGAAGGCGTCGAAAGGAGGGGTACGGGAGCTGCAAGGAGGGGAGAAGTGGTAGAGGAATAGCTAATGAGGTCGGATCTGGAGGTCATAAACTGCCCGACAGAGCAGTACACCTTCTCGGGCCCACGCGGCCAGAGTGACATTGATGTCACACTGAGTGCGGGGACTGAGGAGGGGTGCACAATAGACTGGGAGGTAAGGGAGGAATGGCCACTAGGGGACCACAATCCCATAATAATAGAAATGAGGGTGAGAATGGGGAGAGGAGAGGAGATAGGAAGGAAGGACAGGAGGATTAGGTGGAGGCAGGGAAAGTGCAATTGTTACAGATACGCGGAGGGACTGAGGGAGAAAGCGGAAATGACGGGGTGGGATAACTTCAAGGGTATGGAGGTCAACGTGAAAGTGGCAATATTGAGTGAGTGGATAACTAGTATGAATGATGAATGCATGAAAAGTGTGAAAGGGGAGAGTAAGAAAAGAAGACTTCCCGGGCCTTGGAATGAGACTTGGGTGGTGCCACTGCTCAAGTCTCCAGACAAGGACCCGGCCGAGGTCCGCTCGTATCGTCCGGTGTCCCTCTTGAGCGGGCTAGGAAAGGTGTTGGAGAGGATGATGGGAGGAAGAATGAAGAAGGTTATGGAGGGAAAATCGAATGAAATGCGCTTTGGGTTTAGGAAGGGAAGGAGTACGGATGACGCGTGGAACAAAATGAAGGAGGTGGTGGGCGAGCTTGAATGCGAGTATGTATGTGGGGTGTTTCTGGATTTCCGGGGGGCATTTGATAATATAAGGTGGGATTACGCGCTGGGAAAGATAAGGGAAATGGGATGTAAAGGGTGGGATCTTAGGCTCTGGGGGGATTATTTCAGGGATAGAGTAGTATGGATGGGGAATGGTATGGATGAGGTGATGAGAGGGCTGGAGAAGGGAGCGCCGCAAGGGTCGATTGCGGGCCCATTCATATGGAATGTTTGTATGAATGAGTTGATGGAGAAGTTGAGGGAAATGAACGAGGAGAGGCAGAAGGATGAATTGGAGAGGGAGCAGGAAGAGGGAGATGGGAGGAAATTCAGCGCCGTAGACCTGGCCTTTGTGGAGGACCTTCTGCTTTTAATGGTGGGTAGTACCAGAGGAGAAGTGGAGGAATGGGCGAGGCGTAAGATGGTGGTAGTGCATGAGTGGGGAGGAATAGCGGGAGTGGAAGTGTCGGACGCGAAGACAGTGGCCATGGTGCTGAAGGGGGGGCTAAAGATGCGAAATAGGAGGATACATGTTAGGTCTGGGGAAGGAGAGGAGGAAGTGGACAGAATGGTGAAGTTTGTGGATGAGGTGAAATGCTTGGGGGTGAAAATGGGAGTGGGAATGGACTTTAGGGCGCATGTGTTGGGATTGAGGGAGAAGGTGATAGGAACTATGGGTAAACTGAGGCACAAGGGTGTTGAAGATACTGGTGAAAGGTTTGGTAGAGCCGGCGGTTATGTATGGAGTGAGTGCGTGGGAAGAAGTGTTGGAATGGAAGGGAATCAGGGAGGAGGTCATTCGTTGCCAGAGGAAGGTCCTGTACGCCTATACCCGGGCGTGCAGGACGGTCTCCACGGAGGCCGTGCAGGTCCTATTTGGATCGTCTCCGTGGGACTTGGAGTGTAGGAAGAGAATAACAATGTACAAGGTGAGGAAAGGGATACAGTTGGGAGAAGGGGATCTGGCAACGAGCGAGCAGGTGGAAGGACTCGGGATTGAAGAGGTTAGGAAGCTGGTGGAAGGAAAGGTGATCGAAAGATGGCAGGAGAGATGGGACAGGAGTGTAAAGGGGCGTGTGTTGTACGAATGGATCAGGAACGTGTCGTTCTCGGCCGGGGCGCAGGGATTCCACCCGAGTCTGAGAGCGACTTACGTCCTGACTGGTCACGGGATCCTCAACGGGTTCCTTTATAAAAGGAATCTCGTTGGGTCCCCCGCGTGTGTGTGTGGGAATGAAAATGAGGACTAGGTGCATGTATTGTGTGAGTGTGATTTATATGTAGAGTTTAGAGATTTGGAGGGGATGAATGTAGTGCGGAGGGAGGGAAAATGGGATGTGAGTGGGGTGCTGAAGAAGAAAGAGTGCTATTAGAGGATGTGTGAGTTTGCGGAGAGGGCGTTTAGGATGAGGAAAAGCGTGATGGATAGAATGAGAAGGGAAGAGGAAGGACGAATGTAGACGGGTAAGGAAAGTAAGCAGAGGGAGGGAAAGGGATGGGGGGGGGGGGGAACTAAAATCGCAGGGGGATCGGTGGACGCCGACTTTGCGCAAGTGGGGAAGGTTTGCACTGTTCTTCGGGTTTGGCGAACCCGCGAACCCGAGCTGGCTGACCGGTGCCGAGGGCGGCGAGTATAAACGGTACCACGGGAGGCCGGGGGCCCGCGTGGGAGTTTTCTCCTCCGTCCCGGTCGCTGGGTTGGACTCGTGGTGGCAGTGGTTACGACCCCATATCGCGGGGTAGCAGTGGCGGGCAGGCGAAGGTCGCTTCGGGTGTGAAAGCACCATCGGCGATCGGAACCTGCTCGCGCTGCGACGTGTGAGTTGCGGTCTCAACTCGGGGAGCGGTCCGCTTAGCCGTTAGGGATTTAGATGGGTCCCGGTCCCCACCGAGGGTCCTTAGGGGACTTGTCCTCCCTGAAGGGAATCAGTAGAGTCGGGAAGTGAACGCACACTCCTCGGCTCGCGCTGACTGGCCGTATCCCAGCCCCGTTACGCACGTAGGCGTGCCGTGCGGGTGAAGGCGAAAGCCAGGTACCGCACGTAAAAATGACATCGACATCTGTCCCTATCAACCAGTCTTGCTTGAGCAGCCGTAGTGAACGGACGTGTTTTTGAGAGCTCTCTGCGCTCACTTTTCCGTGCGTATAACAGGTGTGCTTAGTAATACAGTTTAATTACGTTATATATATTAATGTTATTGTATAACAGTCCTTATAAGGATAGTTATCAATAATTATAATTATTGTTTATAATTAATAGTGTTTTATTGATTAGTGTTTTATTATAAAATAATTTAGTCCGCGCCGGGTTTAATATGTAAAGTGCGTGTAGTGATTGGCGGTTAATCAATTGACTATTCAATTGATTAACTGTTTAATTAATTAAGTGCGTGAAAGTGCTGGTAGGAAGTGATCTCCCGCCCTCTCCCACCCACCCATTCACCCACTTACCAATCCCCACCCTCCTTCATCACCCAACCACCCTTCCACCCTCATCACCGATCCACCCTCACGTAACACTCACCCACCCACCCACCTCCCCCTGGGTTTCCCCCCGGAATTTTTCACTCTTGGTGGTCCCCCGGGTTTTCCCCTGGGGTTTCCCCAGTCCTTCCCTGGGGTTTTCCCCAGGCTTTCCCCGGAGTTTCCCCCGGTCCTCCCTGGGTTTTCCCCGCGACTTTCCTGGCTTTTCCCAGCCTAGGAATATCCTATCCTATTTATCCCTATTCCAAATTACTTCGCGCTATACGGTAAAAAGAAAAAAAGTGGTAAGCTGCAGTTTTGCTGCGGCTCTCTAGTGGCTGCTTGCTGTTTTGAGGCTACCTGTGCGTCATCATGGGAGGCAAAAAAGGTAAGAGTAAGATTAAGAAGAGTGAGTTTCTTGAGGGAATAAGTTCGGATAGCGACTCGTCGGTCGATATGGTAGTTAGAAAGAAAACGGAGCGTGCGAGATCCCGCTCTAGGTCGAACTCTATCCGCAGTACGCGTTCGCGATCGCGGTCAGTTATTACGAAGGCTAACTGATTTGAGCAACTAGCTAGTATGGAAGTAGATAGTGCGAATGATAGAAGAACGATAGCAGGGGTTAAGTGCAAGAAGGTAGATAGCGAAAAGGGTAGCCTAGGTAGTAAAAAAGTGCGTAGCGAGGATAAACATGCTGAGTTGCGAACAGTAGGAAATGAACTTAGGAGTTTTCTACTGAACGAGGCCAATAAGATTAGCAAGTCTGCGACTGAGAAAGTATTGAATTCTCTCGCATTCTACGAGGAGCTAATTAATAAGCTGATGTGTGAGAATGCATCACTGGACGGTAGACTTCAGGAGTGTATCGAGTCGCGAAATAGTAATCAAACGTTACTACCGTCAGTAGGTGGTGCATCGACGATGCTAGGGATAGCGGCTCGACAGTCGGGAATGCAATCGATGGGTGGGCCGAAAGGGGCCAATGGCGCTCAGCAACCGATAGGTCAGCTTCCTCCCTTACCGGTTGTCCGACCGAATTACGCGCTAGTTGTGAAAAGTACCTCGGGCGCTAAAGACAAGAATGTATTAGCTAATGTTAAGAAGGCGATGAATGAGTTTCCTAGCATGAAGGTGCAACAACTTACTGAGGTTAAAAGTGGTGGTGTCTTAATTAAAACGGCGAGCGAAGAAGAAAAGAAGAAGTTAATGAAGTGCGGAGGTTTTGCGAATGCGGGATTGGTCGTAGAAGAACCTAAGAAGCGAGATCCTAGAATGATAGTATATGATGTACCATCAAAGTGGGACGACAACTCGTTGATGAGAGAGCTGCACACGCGCAACTTCAATAACATTGAGCGTAAGGACTTCCTCAGCAAGGTCCGCGTAGCCGGGCGTACTGGCAGGAGAGACAAGGAAGTTTGCAATATTATTTTGAGGTCGAAGGTTCTATTAGGATGAATCTATTAGAAGATAGACGAGTATTTATTGAGTGCGATTTATTTATAGTGTGATTTATTTATAGTGCGCACAATGTCAGAGATTATATACACGTGAATAGATGTTATGCGTGTAGATCCTACGATCATATCGTGCGTAATTGTAAAGCGAAAAGGTTGTGTCACAAATGTGGCACAGCTGGGAATGATGGAAAGGAATGTAAGAATGCAGCGAATTGTAATTATTGTCGCGATCGGGGGTGTGACGCAAATCACGCGGCGACTTCGACTATGTGTCCTGGGTACCAAATCAGACTTTCTCAGTTACGCGCTAGAATTACATACGAGTAATGGCTTCAGGAGAAATCCGAATCCTGCAGTTAAATTATCAAAGGATGCTAGACGTTAATCAGGATTTAA